GTTTAGGGTTTAGGGTTTAGCGGGCGGGCTTGGGGTTTGGGGTTTGACAGCTTACCCTGGTTGTAAATATCCTAAATCCGGAACCCTGCACCCCTACCTGCACGCCCGAAACCCATAACCCCTAAACCGCCCACCTCTACCCCCTAAACCCCTTAATCCCAAACCCGAAAACCTAACTCCCAGACATCCTAACCCTGAACGCCTAGCCCCTAAACCCCCAACGCAACACCCCTACCACCGAACTCCTAACAGCAATAAGACCCTAAACCCACAAAGCAGCCTTTGGAGAAGCAGGCCCCTGATAACATACCCCAAGACAATATGCTATTTATCAGGGCTCGGAAACTTTTGTAAAAAACACTCCAAACCTTATCGTAATTATTTCGGTCCCCTATACTGGCTGTTGAGGAACCTGATATAGAAAGCACAATCAACCACAAAGTTTGTTCTTATAGAAGCCTTTAAACGAAACTGTGACTCCCCCATACTCAGCCGAAGTGGGCTGCTGAGGAGCCTAATATCTATAGCCTTCTAGCACAGTATACCACAAACTTGGCCCCCCTTGTAGAACCTGACATCCGTAACAGCCCTAAACCCTATTACCTAAACCCTAAACCCTATGATTAAGAAACCTTTCTGCACGCATACTAAACCCTATCCCCTACAACCTTTTTGAAGGAAGCTACTAAGGCCCCCATCCCTAACTACTAAACCCCTGAACCTGTAAACCCTAAACCGCCTGAAGGAAGCTGTGTCGGCCCCCATCCTAAGACACCGCTCTGCAGGAGCCTGGACCTTCTTGAAGCCGTCGATTTTCGCCTCGGGCCGGTAGCAAAATCGCAGACTCTGGTTGAGTTGTAGGGTTTCGGGCTTAGGGTTCTAGGAGTTTGTAGGGTCTAGGGTCTACCCATGGGCCCCATAGTAGTTCTTTCTTGGGATTACCTTTTGTGGCTTTGTGTAGAGACGGCGTTGTAACGGCTTTATAACTTCAGGTCAAAGACGCGGAATAAACAAAAAAGGCAGCCGGGACCCACCAGCCCAAAACATATTTTTAGGTATTTAGGGTCTGGAACAACTGGACTTACCAATGCAATTTGGGATTCATTGTTCCAGTCCTGGCATGATGTACTGTACTGTAGGGGCCTTAATAATTAGAATAGGGTTTTGGGGTATATTATGATATAACTATAATAAGGAGCCACCCCAAAAATACTACAGGTAATTACTAAAGCCCCAAACCCCAAATCCCAAAAGCCCAAAACCCTAAACCCTGAACCCTAAACCCTGAACCCTAAACCCTAAACCCTGAACCCTAAACCCCAAACTTTAAACCCTAAACCCTAAACCCTGAACTTTATAAACCCTAAACCCTAAACGGCCCTAAACCCTAAACCTAGGGCTTGGCAAATTAAGCTGAAGGTTTGCTCGGCCAGGGTCTAGGAGATTTGAAGCTCTGGGAACTTCCGCCGGAATCCCACGGCTCAACCCTTCTCCAGTTTAGGGTCTCGGATTTAATTAACGAGGGTTTAGGGATTTAGGGCTTCGGATTTGGGATTTAGGGCTTAGCTAGGGTTTAGGGGTTTAGGGCTCCGGGTTTAGGGTTTAGGGTTTAGTTAGGATTTAGGGTTTAGGGTAGGGTTGCTACCAAGGTTGTACAAGGTTACTACAAGGCTCTTTTAGGGATTAGGATCCGGATATCTCAGATAAATCCCCTCATAAAGAAGCCCAAGAAGGTAGGGAGATCCCTATAGAAAGTTGATGCTTGTGTGCTTTTTGAGTCCCTAGTGGTGGACTTCGGAGCTCGGTGTGGCGAAACCACCCACACCTCACAAACAAAAACTAAAGACTCGAGGGTTTAGGGCTTAGGGTTTAGGGCTTAGGGTTCGGGGTTTAGGGTTTGCGGGTTTAGGGTTTTTTGGCCTAAACCCTAAACCCTAAACCCACAACCCTGAACCCTAGATTCCTTCCTAAAGGAGCAAGGTCGCAACTTTGAAAAGGACCAGGCACCACCACAGCACCTGAAGTCCGCATTTTAAAAACAAGCAAAACAACTACAACATCCTCATGATCATACTCATGACTCATAACCATGACAACAAGAATTAAACAAAATGATACACAAATAAAGACAATGACGGTAAGAAGAGGGCAATAGTAATGACAATAATAGGTAGAGAATAGCAATAAAAAGCAAGCAGACCGACAGTACCAGTACAAACGCGAACAATACTAGTAAATAACTCTACGTCAAGTGGAGCAAGTAACCCTAAACCCTAAACCACAGAAGCCCCAAAACCCCTAAACCCCAAACCCTCGTAATGATATGTTAAGCGGAGCAAGTAAGTTCTGTCGTCCGGCCTCCAGTCCGAGGGTCACCAGGCGCTGGTCCAACTTCTTACCCACCTGGAAGACTGTAAGGCTCTGTTGAAGGGTTAGGGTTTAGGGTTTAGTGCTTAGGGTTGTGGGTCTAGGGTTTAGGGTTGTGGCTTCAGGGTTTAGGGTTCAGGGGTTTGCGTTTAGGGGTTTTGGGGCTTTTGGGGCTTTTGGGGTTTAGGGTTTTAGGGTTTAGAGTTCAAGGGTTTAGGGCTCAAGGGTTTAGGGTTTAGGGTCATCTCAAAGACCACCACCACACATACGATCGAGAAGCCTGGTATACCGTAGCGCAACTCCAGGGACGACATGGGGAAATCTCTGCTTCTAGTTATCCCAGAGACTCCAAAACCCCTTAATTAAGGAACATACCTTAAATCATATTAGGATTCCTATTATAGTTTAAGGTAGATTCCTTCATTAAGGGGTTTTGGAGTCTTTGGGATTCATTCAGACGGCATAGTGCCTCTTGAAAGAATATTCCGCACTTCTTGCAAAAAGAGGGCCACAGGATCCCATAATTTGGGGGACTGCATGATTACCTATATTATTTTGGAGGTTCCTTATTGCATTCATAGTAGAACATACCCCAAAACCCTATTCTAATTCTTAAGGCCCCTAAACCCTAAACCCTTATAGTAGCCCTTTTAGAACCCGTTAAGGAACCCTTAAAAAGAACCCCAAAGCCCTATTCTAATTATTCGGGCCCCTACATTATACTAGTTCTCTAAATTAGGGCCCCTTTTTAGGTCCCAAATATAGTACGGCACCCTTATGCAAAGGACCCTAAAAGGTACCCTTATTTAGAAAGCTACCCTAGTCCCTAAACCCTAAACCCCAAAACCCTAAACCCTAAACCCTAATTTAGAAAGGTGTCGGAAGATAGGAAGCCTCAAAGTTTGGAGGGATAAGGCCTTTTCAAGGCTTTCTAGGTAAAAATGTAGCGTCTCTGAAGCTTTACGGTTTTAAGTAAGGGTTTAAGGTGCAGGGTTTAGGGTTTGGGGTTTAGGGTTTAGGGATTTTGCACAGCTCAGTTTCTCTGCCGAGAACGTACTCAAAGCGAGCATCATGTGGCAGTTGATGCTTTACTTGCATGCCTCCGGGAACCGCCGAGGTGCTCGAGGGCATCGGCTCAACTTAATACTTCTGACTGGTTCAGCTTGCCGGTCGGCCTATGAAACCTAAATTTGAACCTCAAGTCTTATACTTGGAGCAAACTTCCCTTAACTCCTCAATTCAACCCTAAACGCCTAAACCCTAAACCCTGAACAGTAAACCCGGAGCCCTAAACCCTGAACCCGAAACCCCAAGCCCCCCACCCCCAACACCCAACCCCGAAACCCTAAACCCCTAAAACCCGAAACCCTAAACCCTAAACCTTGAACCCTAGACCCTAAACCCTTAAACCCTAAACACTAAACCCTAAACTCTTAAACCCTAAACACTAAACACTTAAACCCTTAAACCCTAAACCCTTAAACCCTAAACTTGAACCTAAACTCTAAACACTTTCGGC